TTGTTCATGTTTGTTTTGTGTTTGTTGTAAAAATAAAAAAAAACATTAAAAAAAAAAAAAGCTAAAGAGGATTATAAATGATTTGCAGATTGACATCATCAAGTGGGTCCTTCTCTAGCCATTGGAGATTTAGTATGACTATCCACTAAACATCTTTCCACACTATGCTCTTTGCAAAAATTGGATCATCATTTCTTGGGACCTTTTCCTGTAGAAGCTGTCATTAACTCGGTGACCTTATGGCTTACATTACCTTCCCATATTCGTATACATTCTGTGTTTCATTGATCCCTCCTGGTCCCAGAAGCACACGCCAGCCTGTATCAGTTTGTGGCACCTCCACCTCCACCTGCCAATATTTGCAGGGAACCTGAACATGAGGTGGCTCATATCCTGGACTCCTATATTCGCCGGGGACACCTCCAGTATCTGATTGACTGGAAGGGATGTGGCCCCAAAGAATACTCCTGGGAAGAGCAATGTGCACGCTCCTCAACTTACGTGACTGTTTCACCAGCAATACCCACAGAAACCCAAACCTCAAACTCCAGGAGAGATGGCCCACGAGGGGAGGGATAGTGTCATGGGGGGCTCAGATTCAGAGTCCAAAGACAAAGAAGAGCAGTCAGCTCCTGAAGTGGCCTTGCAGGACAAGCAGTCAGCTCTGGGGTCACCAGATGAACAGCTGCCTGAGCAGGTGGGAGGGGGAACTGGCCAGCGATCATGGAAGATGAGAACTTGGAATTGCCACCCCCTCCCAGTGCAAGACCTTGGAGAGCAGAAAGAAGAGAACAGAGGAAGTCAGCGAGGTTATTTGCAAGGAAGCAGCCTCACCCTCCTAAATGAGCCCCACCAGGGCTGCTCTTATTTAAGAAGAACTATGAGCTCAAGACTGGTGTTGGAAACAACCGTTCACTAACTCAGACCCTCTGTGCCTTGCCTTTTGACTAGGAATCCAGATCAGCTGATGACCTTGCTAACGCTTTGGACCCCTGGATTTGCCTGATCATTCTTGTGCCTGCTCCTTGGACTTTGAACTCTTTATTTAGGCAAGTTTGTTGGACTTGTGAGAACTTGGTTGCTTTTGCATATGTAAATTTGCACATCACTTTTCACTTGCTGTTGGCTATAAGTTTACAACTACTTCTTGCATGTTTGTGTGGACAGGTGTTCTGCATGGCCACCCATCCAAAGCTAATGACTTTGGATTGAATAAACAGATCTCCTTTTGACTCTCCATTGATTGTCTGGGGATTTCTATTAACATTCCCAGCTTGGGACATGAACAGAGATGGAAGGGAAGACAAAGCATTTCAGGAAGATGTAAACAGAGGATATCAACTCAACCCTGACACATTGGGAAGACAGCCTGCCCTCATTCTAGTTTTAAAGTGGGGGTTCTTGACTTTCTGCCAACACAATTCTTGTGGTTTGGACAGTCTGTCATACCTCATAGATGGGATCTTGTCCTTCTCCTCTTGGCTATCTCTGGGCTACTGGCCAAAGTGTCACTTCTCTCACTTTTTCTGCTATACCTGCCAGATCAGGCAGCAAATCCCCAGCTGACAGAGCTTGGAGGGATGGCAAGAGCAGGGGAGGCTGGCAGGGGAGTCAAAAAAGCCAAGATGGCACCCATTACCAAGCAATCAGAGCCCCGCCCCTTTTCCCCTGTGTCCTGATGGATGTAAAAAAGGAGCGGGGGGTTGATTGCAGGGTTGTGGCCACCCTTCCTGCTGACACCCTTGGTTGTATTTGTGCGTTGGGGGAAGCAGCTGTTTTGGTTCTGTCCCACACACTGGAGAATTGTGATGAAATCTGTCTACGAAGGGAAGGGTGATGTGGTAGATTGCAGCAGAGATCAAGGCTATCAGGAAGGAGTGGGTGCAATTCAGGAAGGGAAAGGAGACAAAAGACAACACAGTCCAGAGCAGGAGTGTGGGAAGAGGAAGACGTTCAAGATAACCACTCCCTAGAATCTCCCAGGGTATATCCAGTAGTTGCTATTGTATAGATTGAGTCTGGCAAGATTCTGTCTATAACGAGTAAGCAAATAAAAGAACTTTACTCAACTGGACTGTTTCACCATTGTTCTTGGGCTGGGCCTGACAAGAATTGCCCTGGAATGGAAAGTGGGAGAAATAGCTCTTAGCCACTACCCAGCAGAGCCTGATCCGAAGGGCTGGTGCATGCACTTTTTGACACCATGTGACCTAATGGAGGGCAGTTTTACGGGCACGAAGATGGGGAAGTTGTTCTGTGCTCAGCTTTCCAATCCCACAGAGGAACAACCCTGGAGATCAGAGAACTGGCACCAATATAGGCATTCTCCTCTGCTTCTCCTTCCTAGTAGGAGGGAGAAAACCCCAGCCCCCCAACAACGCTCTTCCCTCCCCATGTTGTTAGCTGTGAGTGATGGCCAAAAAACTGTTTTTCCCTGCTTCCCTTCTTATGGAAGTGGGGTAAAAATCCTGTTTAGCTGGAACTTCACAGGGTAAAGCTTTCTCCCACTCATAAGGCATTGCAGTGCCTACTTTGCCGGAGAGACTTTTTCATGCTTTTCCAAATGATTGCAGGAGTCAGACAAGAGAATTGCTGCAGATTGCTAAGGAGGGAACTGTGTTCATTTGTAATTCCTCCTTGCCTTCTCCGGTCTCAGAATAGAAAGTCTTTTGCTTCATTTCTCTTCTCCTAGAAGTCATCCAGTCTCAATTTCAGGAAGCAAGGAAAAATTGAGGGGGCGGGGGTGAATGGTGTCCTAGGATGACTCACATAGGATGGTGATAATGGTTTATCTAGTAGAAAAAAATATACACTTCCCCAAAAGCAGTCAGTCATTGAAAGACTTGGCAGCTGTATACACAGAAGCAAAGCTTGGTTAGTTTTTACCTGGTTGGTTTTTTTGGTGGCATTGTGTATTCAACCCCAGTCTGTTTGATTAGTTTATAATTCCATGGGTTAGGTGAACCCAGAAAATTGGTGAATTTGATAATCAAGTAAAGCAGATGATGATGATTATATCCTGCCTTATTTTGTGCAAATCAAGGTGGCAAACATAATGTGCCTAAGGGAGGACTGGAACTCATGGTCTCTTGGTGTCTAGTCCAGCACTTGAACTATTGTACCAAAGAAACACCATACAAACTGAGTTGTGTGAACACAGCCAGTTCAGGCCTCTCGTGTCTGTTTTGCACCCACTTGGTCATAACTGTACTCTCAAATTTCAGACTATGTCTGGGAATTGAAATAACAGAACCCAACCATTATGAGTTATTTTTGAAGACCATATTTTCTCTTCTTTTGTTTCAGATATTTGAATCAAGAGCTCCACTGCCAAGGCCAAAAGAGTGGATTGTCCAGAAACTAAGTGGCGTTAAAAATTCAAGCCAAAGGCAATTGTATCCAATGTTACTCACAAGGGAGACCTGCTTCCCCCTAATCCAGTGGTCAGAATCAACCACCAATAGAGCACACAGGATGCCCAAGGTCACAGAAGGTGCAAACCCTTTCTGTGTGCTCCATGGACTCTCTCCCTACAATAACTCCCTGGCCTGCTCAGCTGCTTCAATTCATTGTTGGGTGGGTTATTTTCTTTCATTTTCATTTCTTGCTCCTGCTCCATTGGGGCTTAGAAAAAAGGCTTGGTCATAAAGGGTTAGCACAGGAAACTTTTACTAGCCTGGAATGACCTGTAGGCCAGAAATTCCCCATATGTGTCTTAAGCTGATGCCCATGTTATTGAAAGATACAAATATGCCAAGCCTTCTCTACTCTGAAGATAAAAGTACATTAGTCCTTGGATGGAAACCTCCAGGACTGCAGACTAGATGAGGAAGTAAAAAAAAATCCAAAATAAATGTCAGTGGTTCACCCCTTCTACACTGCTGCCAAGCAAACAACACAGAGGTTGTCCATCAAGTCACCAGGACTCAAACACTACTTGAAGGAGACCTCTGCCTTCACAGAAGCAGAGTCAGTCTGATTGAGAAGAATGACCTTCTTGAAAGCCCAGTTACAAGGCAGGAAGGTTTCTGGACCTTCACAGAAAACTTCCCCCTTTTAAATTTTTCCCCTGGCCAATAGCTAAAATAGTATAATAGGTTACTTCTACTTCAGAGAACATGAGGAAGAATAAATGTGTGAGGAAGTTTCTTTATACACATACACAAACACATATACTCACAAGGGGATTTTTTTCCCACCCCTGTCTTTCATGATAATATCCGCAAGTTCCCTTTGGGAAGGATAGGTTTATAAGGAGAAAACACATCTTCAAACCACCCTCACTGAGAATCCCATGGTCCAGCAATAATGAAGAGCCTGATTTTGATACTAACGGTGGCCCTAGTAGCCAGCAACATCAACCACATCTATGGTAAGTCTTTCTTTAATTTCAACTTGGCCCATTGGGCTTGACTACAGAACCCATTTCCTGACACTCATGTCAACACTAGACTTGCCAGATGAGACCTTCTTAAAGACCCCATGCTTTCAGAAACTCATCTGTGATTTGTACAATAAGTCTTGCTATCAGTACTGAGTCTGCCCCACCCAACAGAACAGCTGGGTGTAATGTATTTGCTACCACCACTTCTGTTCCTCCCTGCAACCAGGCTTAGAGTCGCTTTGTGAGATGGACAGCTATATAAATGTGATGTATAAATAAATAAATTAAAAGGCTGAAAGAAGGAAGATGCAGTTTAAGACACAGGATGGCATCCTTAGACAATAACCTCAGCCTTCTCACACACATTCTAAATCACCCACCCCTCTCCAAGACACAAGGCACAAAAATAATTGGCTAAAAAGAATTTATGAAGATGCTCTACAGCAAGGCTGGCCATTAAAATGCCCTCATAAAAGTTCTAGAAAACGAGAGATCAAAGAAGAGGGTCTTTCTTTCTTTCTTTCTTTCTTTCTTTCTTTCTTTCTTTCTTTCTTTCTTTCTTTTAGAAGTAATGTTCTTTCAACAACAACAAAGAAGGAACTAAAGCAAAAAATGTTAGATTTGTATTCACCATGCCTGTACAGGTTTATGTTCCTTGCTAGTACTGCCTTTAGTAGTTCTCTTTTGTCTACCAAATTTCTGGATTCTTTCCTTTGTTGCTAATATCCACACCAGAGCGACACAGGATGCAGCATCCAAGGTCACCTCTTCTCCTCTTCGTTTTAAATGCATGTTCTTTTGACCATTCAGAATTGTGCAACCGCTACATGAAAAAGTTTATTGTCCATGAAGTTGCCAAGAATCAAAACCCAGTTAGGAGGCTTGACTTACCAATCTGAAATGACCTATACTTACTTAGAAAGTAATGGGGATGAATTAAAACAATAGGTGTAGGAACAACAACAGCATGTATAAGGTTCCTACACCTCCTTGTTAGGGGTCTGAAGTTTTTGCAGGGAGCTAACGTATTTTCCCTGGCTATGTTGCTATTATATAGCTTGTGATTGTATGCAGGTGAACATGTGTGGCTAAGTACACAGTATAATAGATGTGCCAGGTGAAGCCACATTTAATTGGGTTTCTCTGGTTGTCTCTGCAAGAGGCAAGGGACATATGCTAGCCTTTGGGTTCCAGCCATGTGGAGCCATCATAAACGACGGAGACCTTAGTGACCGTCCTAGACTCAAAGAGTAAACAAGTGCATCTGTAGGGCTTCTTTGGCCCTTTGATTCAAGATACAGAGAACTGTGGTGTATTGTGGCAAATGCAACTTTAATCCCCACTCCCTCCTTCCATGCATTTAATATAGGTTGTAGAGAGTGGACACATGAAAGTTCATGCTAAGGAACAATTGCAAGGCTTTGCAAAGCTGCAGAATTAACTTTTAAAAAACACGGAATACCTAAAGATACACTTAATTGCTTAAGAACAGGGGCAAGATGTGGGGCAGAACAGCACATGTCTTCCTTCCATTTAAGGACGTCTAGCCACTGTATGCAATTCTCAATATTTTTTAAGAGTATGACTGGGGAGAGATGGGATCAACCTCTGCTCTGTCATGCAACTCATTGGCTGCATTCAAACAATTACTTCACCTTGGTTTCTGCATTTACTCTTTTTTGGGAGGGATGTATGCAATACAGTGTCCCAAAAGGGTGAATTTGCACAACATGGTAAGTCACCAGAAAACCTAGGTGAACACTAACTAAACCTTGCACGTTGTTCAAATACAAGAGTTAGGTCCTCATCTGTTATAGTTATTTTTCCATTGCAATTGTTTTTATGTATTTATCATTTTGAATTAAGTGCTGTACGCCTTTTGGAAAAGTACGCCTCCTTTTGCCTCCAATCTTTCCCAGCATCAGGGTCTTTTCCAAAGAGTCCTCTCTTCGCATTAGGTGACCAAAGTATCTGAG